CTGTCGATGAGCACCACGCTTCAAAGCGACCAAGCGAGACTAAGGGAGGCACACAAAAAAACACCGCCACACGTGCCCACATGATGTTGGAAGAAGTGTCGGCCTACGCTTGAGCTGTTTAAAAGGTTGAGCTGCGGCAAGGAACGACGCGTTGTGCCGGTTGACGTGAGAAACAGGTCACAAACATAGGATACGCATGGATCATGGGCCAATTTCCACGTGCCATGGCAAAGCTGAAAACGACCAAAGGACGCAACCTCTTTGCAGTCCATTTGGGCAACCTCTCGCAGCTCACGGAGACCGACCGCCTGCAGACCACACATCGCACTTCGAGCCGAAGTTGTTGTCCCAGACCTGGCCGTTTTGGAACCTTGGCTCACCTCGACGTGACTGGACTGACTAAAGACCACGCACCGTGCGCAGTTCTCCGGTTCTCGTATTTTCAACATGGACCGGCAATTGCCCATCTTCACTCCAAGTTCTCCACCTCCTACTGCTCCGTGTAGTTTACGGTACCCTGCTTGGCATCCATTTTTCTCTTGGCATCATATATCTGTGCGACGCCCGAAACGCCCAGCTCATGCAAATGCGGGAAGAAACCCACATCAACACCCACAGAAGGAAACGACCCAAATGGGGAAAAACAAGGTAACCGATCATAACCAATCCATTTACACCACTGCAATGCACAGAAGGAAACATGTTTGCTTCAACCGGGAATCCTGATAGCTCCCCGCTTCGTCTTGCTAGCTCTCCTGCTCTAATCTCCTCTACTCGAGGGATCGAAGCCACAAAACCCGAACTCAGAAGGCCTCAGGAGCCATGGTCATAGGCGTGCCGCCGATCAACCTCGGACGTGGATAGCACGATGGTGGTGTTTTTTTAAACGCTCGGAAGCGATGCTGGAGACCACGGTGGTTTTTTACCCTTCGCCGCGCACAAGTGACAGAAGCATTGTGTGGAAGCTGTCACCAAAATCCGAAGGACACCCGAAACCGATGAAGACACAAAGCTCCTACCCTGTCTGTTTTTGAACACCTGGCGCACCGGGAACCGCCCCCCAACCATCGGTGCTTCTTCCCGCTGGGATCGGGCCGTGGGTCCGCGGAGTGGGTCCCCGCGCTTGCCATGGGGATCCGTGGGCGAAAACATCTCGGAGACCTGGTTTTCAGCCGCAGAAGCCGAGAGTCCCCGACGGCGGCGACGTCCGCGGTAGTGAAGAACCATCCATTTCAGAGAATTTAAACAAAAAAGAAAGAATCCTGTTCCTAGTAGCGAACATTGTTACTAGTAAAGCCAGGAGCCCCTAGTAGCTTCATGTTCCTAGTAGCGAACATTGTTCCATCCTACTAGATTCTTGCTACTAGTAGCTTCTAGCTTCGTTCGTAGCGATGCCCTTTGTTCAAATCCCAGGAGTCCGGTGATTGATTTGTTGCGTGGCTTGCACCTCTTGATTTCAAAACTGGGGCCGTTGTTGGAGCAGGCAGAAACCTGAAACCTGTGGTCGTGCCCAATGCCGTGCCCGGTTTCGCTTTCAAGAATTCACCATTGGTGCCATCTTCGAATATCTTGGACCACTCCAGCGTGCATTGTTCCTAGTAGCGATGCCAGGAGCCCCTAGTAGCGTCTTTGCTACCAGCATACAGGTACTGGGGCCTGAGGAGATTCAGTGAGAAGCGCTTGAATCAGTTGGAGTCTCGTGAGCTTGGGTAACCTGTTCCTGCGCCAATCCCTGTCTATCAAACTCCGGCTGCGTCACCCCATGTTCTTGAGCGAGGATAAAAGTAACAAGGACCCGCTTCCCACATGTTGCACAAAAGTGGTGATGTCATTCACCCTCTTGCACATTTCGAAGGGACAGCTTCTAAGCCGCCACCCTTCCCCCAAAACGTTCCACCTCAAAAACTACTCATAAGTGGACTTGACATATCTGGAAGGCCTATCTGAGTAAGGAATCTCCTGAGCATCATTCAGGTGTAGGGCCCTCACGCCCAGGTCGATGATCACGACGAAAGGCTCCGCACTCTCCTGCAAACTTGCACCCCCATCACGTGTTCCACGCGTGCACACCAGTGTAAGGGAGAATTACAAAGCAAGTAGAGCAAAGCGCATCTCTTCTCTCCTAGTTTTATGGAATGTTAAAGGAATTTCGAGGAGCAGTCTGCACAATTTGCATTAAAATGAGCATCAGAAGCCTCAAAAAACTCATGACACTGATTAAGACTGTGCGTTCATGTCATGAAAGCTTCAATTCCGCCAGAAATGCAAATGGTCAACACATGTGCAGTTTCTTCTTCCCTCTAACCTGAAAATACCACCGTGGCCCATCCGCCCTTTGAGCTTCCGAACCCCCTTGAGCAGCATGACGTTCTCATCCTTCAAATCCTGCGCAGCCGTAGAAAGAAAAGAAGGGAAGCGAAGGGGACGCTAAGAGAACACGAAAAGAACTCGTTCTTGGCCTTTTTGACTTCGTGTTTAATACTTTTGGATGTTGGAATGGGATGCGGGGCAAAGGCACAGTGAACTCTCAGGCTTTGTGTCAATGGCCCTGGAGCTCAAGAGCAAGAGTTTTGCCGGTTTGGACGACTTTGATGATGATAACTGACCTTGTGGATGATGCGCTTGTTGTGGCAATATGCCATGGCCTGCCAGCATCAAAGCAGCTGGATAGCGGACCTGGTATATTTGATTCTGAATGAATGTGCACGAACAAATTCTTTCACCTGCGCAAATCTTCTGGCGCTTCAAAACAGGTTGCGAGACAATGGACAAACATCTTATTAGTTCGGAAGACATGCATCACACCTCACCAAGGACAACTAGCTCCGAATCTCTCTGGCAAGTTGAGCCAACAAATCCCACATGGGTCTCCACGCCGTTGGGAAAACATGCAGCAACCATCACCAACCACATCGCCCACATCGCCCTGGCCATGCTTCAACAACTTCTTCCTCAGCAGAAACTTTAGCCGTTCTGCACCTCGTTACGAACATGGAGACCGTGAGTCTCTGGCATCCCAAAAGACGCTGAGCTGCAGCAGAAGAAAAGAAACAGCGCTGAGGAGCTGGTCTTTGAAGACCACAGCGCTGATCCTTCCTGATCATACATCTGGTGCCACAAGAGGTAGTGATGCGATGGTGGGAATCCATAAAAGCGTTCCTGTATGTTCCTGTCGTCTGAGGCTTCCTTCTGATTCATTCTCCTTTCGGTCCACAGCTTTAGCCCACCTCTTGAGATTTGCCAGACTTGCCACGCACGAAGGACCACTTCCACCCACCAACTGTGCTTCTCGATCCCGGAACAGCCACCGGACCGACCGAGCGCGGTGCGAATTCCCCCGAACATCCAACGCGGTGCGGGCCCGCTGTGGCTTGGCATCCTTTGTCCGGCCCTACACCCACCAGAATCGTCTCTCCACGGATTGGAACCTCTGGGGACTTCGGGAAGGCACAGAACGTCTATGCTTTGGGAAGGTTCTTTTGTCACCTCTGCACGTTCTCTTAGTAACAGCCTAGCAAGGCAGCAGGGCAGCAGGCCTTGAAGTATATTCAGACTCAGAGACCGCTGGCAGTGACCTGTTCTTCCGGCCTGGAGCATCTGCTGCAGCACTTGCCGACTCCAGGACTCCTCCACGGCTTCCCTCGAAACGCAGCGCGGGGGAGACGTCCGGACGACGCCGTGGGACGGTCTCAGGATGGGGTCCATCCGATGACAGGTTCTGAGTCTGGTTTTGTGTGACTTAAGAACGCCAAAACACATCCCTTATTTCCAACGATTTGTTGGCTCCAGATCCTACTGATGCCATGCAAGTTCCGCTGGTCAACACGAAACATTCTTCGCATCCTGTCCGAAGACTTTCCACCAACATCATTTTCGGCCAATTGATTTTCGAAAGAGCTACCAGCTACCCCGTCCCCGGCTCCCCCTCTGGGCGTCAAACCCACGGGACTGAAATCCCAGGAGGGCATCCCGCAGGGTGCCGCCCTGCCAAGAGTGGCGTGCCCATTGGCGCCGTTGGTTTCCCTTGGGCTGGGCAAAAATGACGCTTCGCCTTTTAAGGATGCAGTTCAAGGATTCAATCTTTATGGGATCTATCTTGACCCATCTTGACCTCAACATGTTGGATACTGTGGCTCCTCTTCTTCCTCTTCCTCTTCCTCCTCCTCTTCTTCTTCTTCTGCTAGACTTGCTAACCCAAATTCCTTGAACAAACACTTTTTGAGAAACTGTGGGAACAAGAAGCCGCCAGCCCAACCCCTGCAACCAAACCAAACGTCCTGACGGTGTCACTTCTGTGGTCAAGTTGATGAGCAAAATCATGCCAGAGACATTGCAAGGATCAACTTTCATTGGCCTTGATTGCATCCATGACCAAATAGATCTTGGATGACCTCAATGTCATGCAGCGTAAAACGTACTATACCGTAGAGGACATGATTCTGTAAGGTTATCGCTTTTGAGGGGCGCCTATTGCATTTGCAAGTTATACAGTAGCCCATTCCTGAATTTCACGACCGCTGTTTAGTAAACTTGAGAGAGGAGGGGGTGAACGAAAGGTAGCAGGCAATCACAAGCAACCCTGGTAAAAGTCCATGACGGCGTGAACCGGCGCAGGGGGGATTTGATCCGTGGCCCCCCCCCCGACGAACAGAATCAACTCTTACAGGACCAAACTCAATGCACAATCCCAACTCCTGATTGTAATACATTTTTGCTAAAGCAAGGAGAGCTCAGGTAGCTCAAGCTACCTTTCGTGATTAGTCATTGCACGTTTTGGCGGTTGCTCATATCTTGGAGGAGGGGCCACAAGAAGTTAAGTGTCAATCCTGCAAGGAAGATGGTCGATGATGCGGATGACGCGCGCAGCCGTTCGACTTGGCCACCCCAACCCTTCATACCACTCATGGAGGCGAATGATGTGAGGGTGATCCACCCTCGGCTCAGGAAGGCGAAGGGCATAAATGATAGCTAGTAGCTTCAAAAACCACTCCGTTCGTAGCGATGCCCTTTGCTCCGTTCGTAGCGAACCTTGTTCAAGGCATTCTTAGGCCCTTGGACTTCACTGTTGGTACAGTGATAAGATCGGTTCCTCTTGATGATCCTCCACTGAAGGAGCAACAACATGTGAGAAAGTCTCAAGGTTGTATCAAACAACATCACTGTGTCAGCTTTGGATTAACATGTGTAAGATTCCCACGCGCTTTTGGCATCGCTCCTCTAGGCCAATTCATAGCTGAAAGTCTTTGGTCACACTGTGCGTGTGGGCATGCAACTCCGGTCATACAGATCTTCGGGCAAATCACGATCTACCAATGTTCATGCTTGAACTTGAAAGATCTTGAAACTAACACCCTCGAGTTCCTGTTGTGAGTGCGATTGGCCCAAACAAAGCTCTTGTTGACGGACTGCCTCTCTCCACAGGCTATTTTTGCCTCTGGACCTCCGCCATCAAGAGCTTGCAATGGGGCCGCCACATATTTCTTCTTACTGTCAGGTCAATAAGTTTGAGTTAGATTTACTTTATCTCAGCATCTTTGAGAAAAATTCTTTCTGAAACCAATTGGAAACACCACTACTCCGCTGCCCCACTGCTCCGCACTGCTCCGTTGCCGCTGGCTGCTTTGCGCCATTCCGTCCCAAGGTCCCTTGGACCGCCTCAGCCAGACCTTGGAGCAAACTTCTCTCCCTCATAGTGTGGAAACCCTTTGTGCCAAACAGAGTTGTCAAAGACTTCCATGAAGTCTAAGTATATATATATATATGTTGCCAAGGCACTTGAAGAGGAGGATCGCCACCTGCAAACATCTCCGAAAAGAAAACCAAGGATATCCATGGATCCCAAGGCCGATAGGATCCAAGATGAAGAGATTCGGTGTTTGGCCAATTGTGGTAAACCCAAGTCGAGACTCTGAACGCAGGTTTCAAGGTGAACTACTGTCAAGCCGACTATCGAGTGTAGACATCATTTGTGCTTTAAACATGATAAACATTCAAAAAGTTCTGAGACGTTTCTTTTCAAGAGAAATGGCCGTCAGCATCTTCACCTACCAGGTCAGACCCTTTTGCCGCCTGCCAGACCCTTGCCTGCCCTACTGGACCCCTGCCTGCCCCAGGTAGAAATAGATGAAATGCTTCGTCTCGTGGGTGACGTAGGAGCCGAAGTTTCGCCCCACCACACAGTGCCAGGTGGGGTTGTACTTCCTGGCCGAACTCAAGACTTCACGGGCTGCGGCCCAGCTTTTCAGGCCAGCCATCCCTCACATGGCCATCGCGTGGCTCACTTGCCATGGCTTTGAAAACCAAAGATGTTGCAACCACTTGCAGCCACTTGCCACAGCCTGATGTAGCATTTTGGGGTGATATTCAGCTCTTGCAGCCAAGTGTCTTGTCAAACTCTTTCTTCATGAAAGCTGCGATGTCCTTCTCAATGTTGTACCTCAGAGTGCGACGATCTGCATTAGACGGAGCAAAAGGTGCTCATCAACTGAGGAAGGCGCTTCTCCAATGCCTGGGTCGCGCAGTCAATGGCATCTTGCTGCATGTCTTCGGCCATGTCAGCATTCTTGATGACGGCCTGGATTGGTTTGAGCGCCAGTTCCCAGCACCCATCTGCAGTGTCTGAGGAGGACTCACGCTCAGCTTTTTCAATGTACAGAGAAGTTAGCTGGCAAAAATGAAAACCTTGCCCCGTCTCATCACAGTGCTTCACGATATGGCCCAGCACTCATGAAGAGATCCCTGTAAGCGTGTGTTTGAAAGCCTTTCTACGCGCCTTGCGATCAGCCATAGCTGCGACAGGCTGGAAATGCTCAGGGCTTGAGGCTAGACAAACTGCAAGAAGTTGATGAATGTTGCAAACATCCTGTTCTATCCGTCCCATGCTTGACCTGGCTCCTTCTTCCCCGGCACTCAAGTTTCTTTTCATCGTTTCCGTGGTTTTCCGTGGTTTTCTGTCAAAAATACCTGCAGACTTTTGTCAGGTTGAACTGCCAAGCACTGCCAGGCACTGCCAGGCACCCAGCTGTCGAAGCACCATGATCTCCTTCTCGATGTCTTCGATCGGCAGCTTGGCCTGACGGATGGGCAGTACGGATGGGCAGGGCGACATCGGTGCTTCGGGATGGCCATCCCTCATCTTTGTCCCTTTTCGGACAGCTCTAGGAAGAGAAACATCTGGATATGACCTAACTAAACAGGTGCGCTGGCATTGATGTGGCAGGAGTAAGAATTGGATACAACTCATCCACCCGCTTTTCAAGTCAACAAACAAACATCACAACGCGACTTTCGAAAGCAACGCGATTGCAAACCTAACATGTGTTACAACATGAGCTAGTCAACCCGAAAACACATTCACCAGCTGCTGGCACCCTTGTCTTGCCTTGGATTTCTCTACAGTCTTGACCACACGATCCTGGAATAGCTGGCCATGAGGGAGACTGCTTCATTCATGATGTTTCTGCACACGGAGATTTGCAAATAATTACGAACCCCTCCCTGGCCAAATTGCAAGGAGTGCCTGCTCCGACACAAAAGTTCTAGCACATCTGAGAAGTCAGTCAACGTTTCATTGACACCATTCCCACAACTCTGGAGATAATCTCTAGACCCTTCACTTCCGGGAAAAGCTCCTCCTTGGTCCTCTTGTGCTTGGCCAAGTGGGCCGTTCCTTGATTTGGGTTGGAGCAGGGTGGAGCAAAATAGAACACACTCTGATTTTTTGGGGTCCCAGTCAACTTGAAACTATGATGCTGGAATAACTTCGATAATAACCCGAGTTCACGAGAAAAAAATAAAGTCTGTTACTACTAGTAGAAACAAGTGCATCGCTTCTAGTAACAGGTGCCTTACTAGTAGTA